AACCAATTTTGCGTTCACCCTAAACCACAGAATTCTGCACTGTGATAACAGAAAAATTGTAGAATTCTGTGCCGTGAACAAACGTTCCATTACTACTAAAAGCGCACAATTTTGTCTGTGGGCAGTGGAGAGAGAGAGAGAGAGAGGGAAGTAACGCGAGAACTTCCGGGCAAAACAAATGGCGACCCGCGTAGTTCGGCTTGATTCGAAAAGTTAAATAGCCGTAGCATCTTTGTAGACGACCAAATTAATTTACTTTTGTGTTTTTACATAATTTTTAAACTTTGTTTTGGTCAATTTGATCGTCCACACCGATAGACAGTACTCAGAAAGAGACAGAGAGAGAGAGAAGAGGGGAGGAGTAGATCTTGCGAGAACTTCCGGGCAAAACAAAATGGCGACCCCCGTAGTTCGGCGCGATTCTAAAAGTGAAATAGCCATAGCATCTTTGTAGTCGATAAAATTTGCTTACTTTTGTGCTATAACGGTAATCTTTTCTTTGCCTTTATCCTTTTGATCATCCACATCGATAGAAAGTATTCCGAAATTAGGAAAAACAGATCTTGTTTAACACCGGGTGAGAATAGCCTACGGTGGCAAGTCTCACCCGGGGTGAGAGGTCGATCGTATTTCTATTTTCACCCCGGGTGAGAATAGCCACTTCCTACAGTAAAAGCTACTTGAAATTACTTGAACTTACTTGCTGCCGGAGTTTTGCCTTTGGCTTAGTTTTAGGAAGTGACTATTCGGACTTGAGTCCGAATATGAAAAAAATGTTATTCGGACTCTGATTCTTTTCCAGCATGACATCACTTCCGACTTCCTGTGACTTGTGACTCCGGCTTCCTGTCCTGCCTCACTCGTGACTCGCCTCAGGCTGGATAGAGACCGGGATCTCTTCGGGCAAAATGGCGTTTTGTGCTGGAGCCAAGTTTTTATCTTACGGAGTGTATACAGACCCGGTAACCGGGAACAAAGTCACGAAGTATACAGACCCGGTAGGGGAACTCTTTTGTGATTTCGGGAAGTTTCAGCGCTCAGACCCGGTAGAAATCTAGTGTGTGTGTGTGTGTGTGTGTGTGTGTGTGTGTGTGTGTGTGTGAGAGAGAGAGAGAGAGAGAGAGAGAGAGAGAGAGAGAGAGAGAGAGAGAGAGAGAGAGAGAGAGAGAGAGAGAGAGAGAGAGGGAGGTGCTAGCAAAATGTAATGACATGCCCCAGTTGGCAGGAGGGAACGAGAGAAAGATAGAGTGTGAAATAGGTGGGGGCAAAGGAAGACAGAGACAAACAAAGAAAAAGAGAAGGCGATCGATACAGAGAGAGAGAGAGAGAGAGGGAGACAGAGAGAGAGAGAGAGAGAGAGATAGAGAGGGTTACTGCTCGATTGAAATTATGACATTGTTCTTTTCTTCAAATTGCGACTTGCGATTCCTCCAACTCCAAAACGGAGGAAAAACGATCGTTCATCGAAAAGACATCCGCAATCTTCATTTAGATCTAGGTCTAGGCTAGCCGCGAAACTAGATTAAAGATTTATGTCTGTCTGCCTAGATCTAGATCTAGACCTAGGCCACAGATCAAGAAGAACCTAGGTCTACCCTGAGTCAAGAGGGCGCAGAAACTCTCGGAAATCACAAAAGAGTTCCCCTACCGGGTCTGTATACTTTGCGACTTTGTTCCCGGTTACCGGGTCTGTATACACTCCCTTTATCTTATGATGAATTTGAGGCCGGCCTGAAAAGTTATAGCGCTTCTAATAAATGTTTATTTGTCAAGAGGTCATCAGAAGCAATTAAAGATGGCTCGTTAGTGTGTGTCGGGGTCGGATGGGCGGCCTGCACACGTGTGACTGTGTGCGTGTCGGGGAGGGGGGTGGGGATGGGGGGGCACTATCGGTCCGGGCGTTGAACGTCGCATACGCGTCAGTCTTTTTTCCACCGGCAACTGATCATTATTACAATAATAAAAAGCTAGTCTTGACGTAGATCTATGTAATGAATTGTGTGCTGGTCTATGGAATCAAAAGTTGCCGTATGCTCAGCTCTACACAGCAACACAACTTTTTCTTGGTAAACTATCGAGATGACACAGGCTTGTGTATTTGAACGAATCGGTGTTTTTTTTTTACACAGCTCATAATATGCAGGTTCAAGGTGGTCTGCTAATCTTCAATTTTACCTTTTTCTACAACAAAGAAAGTGGGAAACATGGGGGGGAGGGGGGGGGGGCGTATCAATGAGGCGGCGGGCATCGGATCGGCAGAAAAGGTGTGGGGGAAACTAAAAAATGGCGGAAAATTGAAAGTTTTTATTCGGACTCGAGTCCGAATATGAAAAAATGTTATTCGGACTCGAGTCCGAATAAAGACGGCCTAGTTTTAACACACATTGACTTGAACTTGATTGACATTACATTAGACTGTCAGTAGGCCTAGATTTAGATCTAGAGATCTAGAATCTAGATCTAGACTAGTAATGATTCATCATGAAAGTGGCTATTCTCACCCGCCCGGAAGTTCTCGCAAGATCAACTCCTCCCCTCTTCTCTCTCTCTCTGTCTCTTTCTGAATACTGTCTATCGGTGTCAACGATCAAATTGACCAAAACAAAGTTAAAAAATGATGTTAAAACACAAAAGTAAATTAATTTGGTTGTCTACAAAGATGCTTCGGCTATTTAACTTTTCGAATCGAGCCGAACTGCGCGGGTCGCCATTTTGTTTTGCCCGGAAATTCTCGCGCTACTCCTCTCTCTCTTTCTCTCTCTCTCTCCACTGCCCACAGACAAAATTGTACGCTTTTAGTAGGCTACAGTTGTAATGGAACGTTTGTTCACGGCACAGAATTCTACAATTTTTCTGTTATCACAGTGTAGAATTCGGTAAATTTTTACTTTCACTCCCGCACACAGATGCACTGTTTCAGGGGTCAAACTGCTGTACTGTTTGCTGCAGATCACACATAAAGCCACTAAAACTGTCGCAAAGCAATTATTTTCAAGACAATTTCAAATCTAACTGTAAAATATCAAACTATGGGTAAAAACAGGGGGGCATGCCCCCCTGTAACCCCTCAGATTTTCTTTTACCCCAGTGGGGCAGGCCCTCCTGGAACCCCCCGATTGGTCCAAAGCATGTCTATCTCGGTTAAAAACAATTAAATATTTCAAAAACTATTAATTTGCGACGGAAATGAAGTTGATATTCGTGTTCAGCGCATCAATATTTAGTACAAAATAGACAATTGGTAGCTGAGTGTGAGACGGGAGGGAAAGTAAAAAAATACCTAGAATTCTGTGGTTTAGGGTGAACGCAAAATTTGGTGAACGCGCACCGGGTGAGAATTGCCACAAGGCTCGCCTGCACTATTCTCACTCCGGGTGAGAATAGAGGTGGCCATTCATCATACACACTAGTCTAGACCCTAGATCTAGATTCCAGATCAAGATCTAATCTAGACTCTAGATTCTAGATCTACTGATTGCACTACTGTACTGTATAGATCTGGAACTTTCACTTATTCACTGTCTGCCTTTTTGTGCTTTGCTTTACTCGTCTTAGAAAATTAGAAATTAAAAAAAAACAACTCTGTAGACATTAATTTTAGAATACTGAAATTTAGCTAAATTCAGTAGGATTATAGATCTAGAATCTAGATCTAAATCTAGATCTAATGTTGACAAACCAGCCACTCATTCATCCCAATTTAGTCGGATATGTCCCGATTTTTTCCCCCAAATCTCAAGCATCCAGATTTTCCTGATTTTGGTATCGTGTATCCAGATTTGAAGTGGCTATTCAGACTATAGTCCGAACAGCTGATGGAGGCTATTGGGACTCAAATTCCAGTGTGCATGCGCAATCACCGGTTGTACCGTAAGTGAGGTCTGTACTCAAGTCCGAATAGTCTCCCGTTGCTATTCGGACTTTAAACTACTGGTAGGCTATAACACTGCGTTTCACGACTACAAAAGGATCAAGACATAAATTTAAATTCATAATCAGTCCTTATAAGACAGTCCCCTCCTCCCCTCTCTCTCTCTCTCTCTCTCTCTCTCTTTCTCTCTCTCTCTCTCTCTCTCTCTCTCTCTCTCTCTCTCTCTCTCTCTCTTACTTTTCTCTCTCCATCTTACTTCCCAAGGCCCACCATATGCGATTTAACGTAGAATGACGCAAACTATTTTTAGGTAAGGTGGCCATCTTGTTTGAGGTCAGACCGGGATACCCCTCCGATCACGTGACCACAATATACTGCAGGGCACCAAAGATAGAAGTGTCTATGTTATATCAAGCTTAATCTACCTTTTGCTGTTGGAAGCTCTAATAGCTGAATGGACAGCGCGTCTGCGTTTGAAGTGATACAATTTTTTTATGAGCATGGGATCGAATCGCGGTCATGGAAGGTTGTTTTTGTTTTTTTTCCCCTCTTTTCCTCTTCCCGACTGACCAAAGGTTTTTCCCATAAATTAGAATATGTTGCTTTGTAGTTTTTTATGCATTAGTAATCCTCTGAGTTCTTTACGGCAGTTTTCGTGCGGTTTATTGTCTTTGCGTTTACCATATTTCAATTTCAAGCATCAGAGTTCTTACTGTTCTGAGCATCAACGATCTAAGCGATCTTCCATCATGTCAAGTACTAGATCTAGGAATTTCAAAATGTACTTACATGCGGTACCTCCACGGCCTTCTTAAAATAGTCAGTGGGTATCTTAGGAAGTGATGACGTCACATTACTAAAATTAGCAGCCAATCAGGAAGATGCATGGTTCTACGTTTAATCGCATGTAGGCCGCCACCACTTTCACCTCTTTTTTTTGCGTATATAGATCTATGTTCCTTCCCATACCGTTGCCCACCGCCCGGCCCTACTATTAATCTTTTGTAAAGAAAAGACCACAGTTCCCACTGGGTCACCATGGGCGGCGTCCATTTGTTGTAGGTTCCTTGGCCAGATTGTAGAAACCGAGGTAGGCCAAGGCCGAATTGCTTGTCTGCATCACATCCGGTACACCTAGTGATTGCCCCCGCACATTGGAGTTTGAGTCCGAATAACCATGGAAGGCTATTCGGACTCGAATTCAGACTCAAGTCCGAATAGCCGCGGCCATCCAGATTTTTTTTCCAGTCTGCTGATGCGTCGGATTAAAACCCCCCCAACTTACTGTGCCTTTTCTCTATCGTGGGAAGCCCAGGTTGAACCTTTTGCCAGTTGGAACTTAGAGAATTATTTTCCGAAATACAATTGACACGCCCCAAGTTGTGTTTGATCTTTGCCCGCACTCAGAATTCTCAGATGATAGCCTGATTACTTAAAATTAGGACATACGAAAATGATCATAATAATTCGTAGTTCTGCCGTTACCTTCAATACAAGCCTTGTCCGTGGTCAAGTAACCGCACGTTCACATTTAACACTGGGATGAGCGACAGTCGTTCTAAACCTTACCCAACTAATTGCGCTGACTAGACTAGCACTCGTCCGTTGTCATTGCTTTGGTCTGAATGCCTATGAGCAGGGATAAAAGAGATTTTTTTACTTGGAGCTACAGAGAGCACCTAGCACACCTCTGTGATTGGCCCAAATATGGATGACATATTTCCGCCATCTATTTTTGTTGTCTTCTGGGGTTTCCCTCGTGAGTTGACTAAATCGATCACCATCACCCTTTATTATTATAAATGATCTTTATTGCCAGTTGGAAAACTTTTTGGTATTGCTCAGCCATTCCAGACACTCCCAATACATTATAACATATATTCTCAAGCTCACACACAGACGGAACATATATATCCCCATGCACACACAAACTTATGTACATAACAAAGGAACGGGTAGATTCACACCTGCACTCACGGGAACGCAGGTAGATGCACACACGCATAACACACACTTACACACACATACACACACACACACACACACACACACACACACACACACATATATATATACACAGCAAAGATAGGTATATCTCGATACATTATTTAGATAAACACCCTTTCCAGTTTATATTCATACTTATTATTACACCTGTCACCTTCATTTTGATTGAGGTTATTTGAAAAAAAAATGCAGTCTTCAATCAAATTATTATATTCCTTAGTTTTCTAGTCATCTCGCAAGGGAAACCCCGGAAGACAACAAAAATAGGTCCTGGAAATACGTCCTCTATATTTGGACCAATCACAGGGTGTGCTAGGTGCTGTCTGTAGCTTCATGTGATTTTTTGGGTTCATTTGGTCGGTCGGCCATTGTCGTTAGCCTAGAACAACTGTCGCTCGTCCGAGTGTTTGGTGTGAATGTGCAGTTAGTCGTTCTCATTAGTAAAACTGTTTGAATCGTGCGTCTGTGTCACGTGACATGACTTTGGCGTGTGAGTTCCGCATGTGTTGGGGACCGTCCGCTGGCGGGCTCAACTTAAGTTCATGCACACTGGTTGAAGTGTCTTTCAGGACTTATTGGTTGGGGGGGGGGGGCGGCGGGGGGGAGTATGCTAGATACTTGGACTAGGAGTGCTTGACGTGATACTTCAGGAGTTTAAAAAAAGTAATGATAAAACACACACCCACAAACAAACAAACAAACAAACACACACAGAGGGCAATATTTATGGACACTCCTGGAAATTTTATAAGTCAGTCCGGCAGTCACCTTGGTGATTTGCTGTTGATCTCGATTTTTTTCACCAAATCCCCATTTGTCCCCGCTGAGATCCTGATTTTGAGATTTCACAGAGTGGCATGATCTTTACAGAACAGAAACAATTTCTATTATCATTTTACTTGTACTACTATTACACTGTCTCTTGACTTGCTCATTAATTTTTATTTGTCTTACAACAGATCTGTACAGTATACATGTATGGGAGGGGCTCTTTAGAATTTATAAATCCGTAGCAAATTCATAATTTTAAAAATATTGTATAGTTTTTATTCGAATTGTATCTCACTTGACTAGAAGTCGATGTTCGTAGTAATTTCAGTACTTGGGGCCATGGGGGGGGGGGGGGGGGGGGGGGGGGCTTAAGAATTAAAAAAAACTGGGGGTTTTCACGGGAGGAGCGAACGGTTTTTTCCCCCAAAATGAAGGTGTTGCATTGAGGGGTGGAAAATTTTCTTGAAAACAATTGATGTGCAGCTGTTTATATAACCTTAGGGGGCGCGGGGGAAAAAAGATCGGGGGGGTTTTACCCACACAAATATTTTCGTGTGGGGGGCGAAGAGAGGGCCAATAAATTTACACACACACATGTTGAAAAAATTCACAATTTTGAATGCCAAAACTTGTTAAAAAAGCATCAAGCTCAATATTTTTGCTGTTTTTGTGAGTGGGCTGCCATTTCTGTAGTAACAGGCTAAACATACTGTTCCAATTTGTGGAACCTATATATATATTTAAACAAAAAGAAAATACCCCCCCCCCCCACCCCACCCCACCCCAGAATTTTTTTGCAGTAACAAAGCTTAAGTTAATGAATTGCCACTGATGTCTTCACATTGTGCAGGTGCACTGGTTGTACACATGTCTCACACTAGTTACAGTTCTATTTATTTTCTAACTTGATGGCGTGTTTGAAGTAGATTCAGAAGAAATTTCATGTAGGTAACGTTTTTTTTATAGGTCTAGATCAATCACACTTTTGGCAAAAGACTGTGTGTGTGTTTGAATTGACCTCTTAGTTAGGATAACCACCGCTTGATCCAATCATTGTCACTAGATCTACATTTTCTGTTGACAAGTGATCAAGTTCGTCTTCTCTTTTTAACTATCATCATTTTGCACTTCTTTATCAATTCATTAAATCACATAGATTCATTTGCAGATGAAGTATTTCAATTTATATTTGTTTCTGCAACATGTGTGTGTCAGTCAATCTTTGATCTGCAGACACTTGAACAAAATCAGAAATAGCACATTTTGAGGGAATTCCTGCTTCAAAAACAGGCAGGATTCAAAGGAACACTATTTTAATAAAGTCAAACTACTGAGTGACTAGAGCGATGCTACTCTAGTAATTGAATAATTAAGATAGGATAATGCTTTAAAATTTCCCTCTGGGGTTATAAATTATTATCTGATCTGATCTGATCTTATCTTATCTGCACATTCAGTTACTGGATGCATACGTGTTGGCTATAAGTAGAAATTTTAATAGCTTTCCAGAAGAATTAGAGCCAGCTGGTTTGCCGGACGTACATGTAACGTCATATAAAAAACCAGGAAGGGCAAATGTTGCCAACTCTCTTCACGTACAAGATACAGCACGAATCTAGAAATTGTGAATTTTCATGGCATGTAAGGAATGCCATAATATAACAAAGGGGTTAACTGTCTCCCGAAAAAAAAGAAGTAAATATTAGATATTAACCTATAGGCTATTAATTATAGATGTCCCAATATAGAAGCACATAGAACAATGTCATAAGGGTAATGGTTGATAATCCATGAACAAGTACCTTAGTACACTTTGACTTTAATGACATTCGTTCATTCCATGAAGCTCAATCTAATTTTTTAATTCTCTTTTCCAGAACATTTCCAGCTCAAGCCAGGTTACTGTTCAGAGGAATAAAAGATAGAAGCAAGTGGAGAAGTAAGGATGATGCATCTTGTATAAGTTAAAAAAAGTAAGACCAACTCCTGTTTCACTTTTTTATCAAGTTTGTTTGGGACACATTTTTTGATTTGATACAACAAAAGTTTTGAGATGGTCAGACTTGCTCTACGTCGTAACCACCTGTTAGCGTTATCAGGATTTTTTCTGGTCCTGCTGTTGCTGTGCTACAGGCTTCCTTTTTCCCAACTCTACCGCAAGATGCACAACTACAACACGCTGTTCAAACAGGTACAGGAAGCCAGCAGACTTCGATCTCATGTCAGTCAGAAATACTTTCAGTCTCTGGAAAGGACTCCGAAACCTAATATTTATCAAGAACGTATGAAAAAAGGTAATGTTACCATTGCCGTTGGTCTAATCACTGTGAAAAGGTCAAATAAAGAGACAGAGCATTTGCCCCCAGGTACTCTTGACTATCTAATGCAGTCTGCCTCGCTTGTGGATCATATCATGAGACACCACGCCTTTTTCCAAACGTCTGTTCCTTTTATTTGCAATGTGGACACATTTCCAGAAAGTCATAAGACGGCTGAAAAGCTTTACAAATTTCTTCCATACACTGAAAGATATGGGCTCAATTCTTTTGGTATTGGTCCTCTTACATTTCCTGGTTCAAAGAAACTCTACCAAGATGTTCAGTCCCATGTGTCGCGGTACCACAAAGAGACTTATGACTATGCATTCTGCCTTCAGTCAGCAGCTTCTCTGCATCCCCAGTATGTGATTCTCCTGGAGGATGATGTTCTGCCTCATAAAGACCTCCCATATGTACTGGAACATATGATTCATTCGAGACTGAATCTCACAAAAAGTGATCACTATAAGAACGGTATTGCATATTTAAAGATGTACTATCCTGCGAAATGGCAAGGATATGCCACTGAGTGGACGCGGGTTTTTGATCTACTTAGCGTGAGTGCTGTTGGAGCAGCTGTTGTCCTACTGATTTCCTTTATTCTGCCTGCGAAACTGAAATCCAAAATCATGTGCAACGAATCCTGGAAGACATTTTTGATATCATTTCTCATGGTGATGCTGACATGTTGGCTTTTAGGCCGACAGAACATCAATGAATTTCGTCGTATTTCCAAACATTTGTACCGCCTCCAGCAGTCGGAGGGTTGCTGCACGCAAGCTATGCTGTATCCCATCGACGTGGTGGCCCCTCTGACACAACATCTGGTCACCGTGTCGCCTCACACTCACACAGACTTGGCCATCATGGACTATGCAGCACAAGGCACTTTGCCAGCTCTGCAGATAGAGCCTAGCCTTTTCTTTCATGTGGGGCTGATCACGTCTCTCAACCAGAGACAGAAGCATCCAGAGGAATTTATTTTCCATTTGTGATGACAACTGTATTACGGTATCATAACTTTGTTTTTTAGCTGTACTAATTATCTACAGTAATGATCAAAATGACAGACGAAAAAAAATGGAATCCCTGAGAAATCCAGAGCTAGTATCAAAGACTTATTTCACGGGCAGGTCTTTTTTTTTTCCATAAGGTGAACTTTAAAAAAGTATGGAAAGGTTGGCTTGACAGTTGTCAGTGAAAGAAAGTCTAGGAGGAAATTTTGGAATTCATGATGTAATCACTTCTTTATGATGCTACCCAAGTTTTGTTTCCAAGACCTCTCCATTGTTTATTTCTGACAGCATTATCAGCTTTTGTGTACATTTTTTGTAATATGTCCCTGAATGTGGGACAAATAGAAATGTGGGGAATTAATCCAGCTTGTGTACATACTCACATTAACATACACAGGCATTCATTTGAAATACATGTCTAGCATTTATTTGTGTATTTGTAACACATCCATGGGAACAGTGGCTGAATGGATGGGCAATGGGCAAAACTGGAAGAACTGTATTTGCACACATGACAGCCCCCAACTCTAAAGATGCAATAAATTCCCTGAGTAGAAGAGAACAAGTCACGATATTTCGCCTGCGAACACAACACATACCACTAAACTCCTACCTTAATAGGATCCACAAGGATACCCCACCCGACTGCCCGTTGTGCGACTGCCAGGATGAAACAGTACCACACCAACTCTTTAACTGCCCAGCACTTTGTGACCTGCGTAGCACCTACCTACCTGCCTCCCCAGACATTGGAAACACTTTATACAGCGACAAAGCACAGCTGATTAAAACCTGTCAATTCTTTGCCATATCGACAGACCGAAGGGCTAGAACCCAAATGGCCGCTGTATCGGAAAAGTAAAGTAAAAAAGTAAGTAACACATCCATACAGAGAAAGTGGGGGAGGGGGGATTAGCTTTTTATAATCCATTGTGTGATATATATATATATATGTGAGGTGGTTGTTGTGAACTCTGGTACACATGGTCATATTATTTATATATATTTAAAGGCCTGGAGGATACGAAATCTTTTTTTGAGAGCACCTGTCTGTTTGTATATTTTATAAAAACTGCTTATACCTAATGTGACTTTCTTAAGGTGTCAAATGAAAACCTGTTGATGTTTGTTGCACATTGTTTATGCTCATATACAAGTGTATGAATATTCATGTAAAACATTTGAATCAGTGAAGTTGTTGACAGCAAAATATTGTGTCTGTGCAGTGGCGCATAGAATTTACTGATGGATCTATTGTTTATTTAACATGTGCCTTGTCTAGAAATTTTAATGTTTTTGGTTGAGATGCTTTTGCTCAAATCTAATTTGAAAGGGAGAATAAAGATACAATGTTATGTGGGTGTGTTGTGAGTTAAAAAGCTGATCTAAGGAGACAGGAAAAGAGGATACACATGGAAAACATTTTTAAAGTTTTTAATTCGAAGATAATAATACAGTGTACCATGCACATTGTGAAATGGGCGGAATGCAAACATTTTTTCATTATGTACGAATTTTGCTATCTTCAAGTTCTAAATACAAAGAATCAAGAATATACCATTTATACATATATGAAAAAGGTAAATAAAAAAAAATATAGATAGATAGATAGATAGATAGATAGATAGATAGATAGATAGATAGATAGATAAAGATAGATAGATAGATAGATAGATAGATAGCTAGCTAGATAGATAGATAGATAGATAGATAGATAGATAGATAAAGAAAACATTCTTGACCTGAAAATCTATCCGCAGTATGCCTGTTTCCTAATGAACAGGTTCACTAGAGCATACCAGAATGTAATTGTAATTTTACTTAGTTTTGTGGGGTTGGATGGAACATGATTTTTTAATAAATTCTTTTCTTTTTTGGGGGGAGATCTTTGGGAGGTTTCTGGAATTGATTATTTGTTTAAGTTAAACTTAAAGTTGTATCCAGGTTGTTATGAAATTGCATTTGCTTAATAAGGAGCAATCATGTTTAAGTGTAAACATTCAAGGTCTTGAACTTTACTGTCTGTTTTCTATTGTTCACCTTTGTCCTTAAGGGACACTTGCCAGAATATATATGCACAAAGAAATTGACTTAAACGTAATTGATTGATGCAAGGTTCAGGACATTTTAAGTGGCTTTTCTAGTGTTGTTGAGATGTATTTTTGCAAAAATTAAAAATACAAGTCTTTCATTCTTGATCTCTTGATGCAGTGAACATTACTTTTATTTTTGCTCTCTTTCTCTCATCTATCCAGAGCTTTCCGTCCCTCCTCCCTTTTCTTTCTCTACCTCCTGACCTGTTCTGTGTCACCACCAGTCATATCAACTCCTGACATCTGTGCTTATTTCACTTAATTTGTTTTGTTTTTTTGTTCATAACTTGTTAATGTTATCCATAATGTTTTACTTGCAAAGTTGTTGCTTTTTTTTTCACAGTGGTGCTTCTCTTTTACCTGAGTCTGCTGTATCGGGCAAACTGTTTTATAACATGACTGTACTGTTCTTTTATTTTAACTTTTTTTTTTTTTTTCCCCGTGTCCTGATTTTGGTGCCCGTTTTTGTTGGTTAAGTAAAAAGAAAGTAATGGTGCAGATTGTTATATGAAAGGGGAATTGTTGAGTCGGTAATGATGATGATGATGATGATAATGCTGATGATGATGATGATGTTGTTGGCGATGGTGACGGTAATGGTAATTGTGATAGTGAGCATGAGGATGATTATTTATGTTGGCGATGATGATGTTCCGATGTAGGAAATGACATGCGTGTTAGTCTTAGTGTTAAGTTTGTTTGGTGCTTACTCTAGATCCCCGCCAGGCTGTCCTGGGGGGCAGGACACAACCCTCATTCCCAACTCCTCGCATAGAGTGACCAAAAATTTGGAAATAATTCGTCATCTTCATCCCTAGCATTTAATAAAAGTAGGCCGAAAAATCACATGGGGGCCGCTTCTAAGTGATGACATTGTTAGTGTGTTTGTTACCCTACGTCTATGCTATCATATTTTAAAAACAGTGAAAGGAATGTGGCCAATAATCTTCGTAAAAATTAACTTTCACAGTCAAAGCAGACTAACTTGTGTGCTTACAGGTTATCGTTATCGTCATTCGCAACCGGTCCCGAGGCACTTCTGTGGTCGTCGGAGCATGTAAAAAGCCTGAAAAACCATGCCTAGACGACCAGAGAATTACAGGATTGCCTCTTCCTAAAGAGTGATCAGCAAATTCACCACAAGTATATCAATACATTAATGCACACAAAAAGCAACACACAGTACTGGAGGACCGGAAGCGAAGTTGTGTCCAGCGACAACTCAGACACCACGGGCATAAAAAGTCCCCGTCTCCAAAGAGATAGAACATTTATGGGCCACTATTAATGAAATGGAAAGACAGACTAGTTAGTATTAAGTGCAGGAAATGTTATATCAAATTACTTCCCTATTCTAACCCCATGTGATGACACGCGACCACGAATGGCACCATTAAGTCTGACTAAGAGTATAATAATGGCAAAGAGATGTTAAGAAGTACAAATTGCATAATTAAATTACGTAAAAACACACACACACACACACTCACACGCACACACACAACCACACACACACACACACACACAAACACACACTCACACATTTGGACACACACACACATAGCTGTATATAACAGTCTTCCACTAAACTCGCTCTCATGCAGGGACAAAACAAAAGTGGCATGAGATGGAGACTGGAAGCCTAGTCTTTTATTTTAACTTTATATACATCTTTTTACTGAAGTTACCTTTGTAATATCTTTTATTCTTTATTATATCAGTTGTGTTGGGCACAAATGGGCTAACTTCAAAATTTTCTAAAACCGGATTTTGGGCTATGCTGTGGCGTCGGTGGCCCAGTGGTTAGGCTCTCGACTCGCAACTGTAAGGTCGTGGGTTCGAATCCCATCAGGGGCTCGACATTGTGTCCTTGGGAAAGGCACTTTGCACACTTTTTCCTAACTTCACCCAGGTGAAAATGGGTACCCAGCTATAGACAGTGAAAGATCTTGTCAGTTTGATAGTTTTTGATCGCGTGAACTCAGCAGCTTGCACTGTATGCTTCTGCGGAAGCTGAGAATGTTTCTGAGTGTTCTCAGAGGGTCTGCTGGGGTAATAATAGTTGTAAAGCGCATAGAGCATGTTCTTGAGATTGGATATACGCTCGCTATATAAATGCAATTATTATTATTATTATTAAAGCACGGTCAACAAATACAATCAAAATTGCCTAAGACGGCCACCCATTGTTGGGAAGAAAAGTGGCCGACTTAGACAGGTGGCCATCTTGCACAGTGTCATTATAATATAATGCAAATAAATGCATGGGGCGAAATTGGAAATGGTAGTTTGTGCAGGTAGTTGTCTTTTAAACAGGTGGCCGTGAGGGCAGGGTCGACTGTACTTTCTTCTCAGTAAATGATGCAAAAATTATTAAATGAATAGAAATGCATGAATCATTCGCATGAAAATTGAGTGTTGAGTTTGACTGTGTTTGAGTTTGACTGGTTTTTAGTCTGTATCAGATATCATTGATATATATATAGAGAGAGAGAGAGACAGATTTGAATGTCATTTCATCAACTGATTGCTCCCTGCACAGATCTCTGTACTATAGGCCTACATACCCAGTAAGCATTTGTGAAGAGCTGAATTTTCTTATCGTATGAAATTGTTGGCTGTAATGATAACTGAGTGTAAAGCATGTGTAAGTGCTCCTAATATGGCGTTTTTTCAAAAGAAGAGGGAATTTGTTTTTACATATACAATGTATTATGTTTTATATATATTTATAATATCATCCTCGTTCCAAAGATCTCCTAGTCCTTTTTCGTAACGGCCGTTGCTGTGTCCATGTGCTTGTTCAGTTTATTGTCAACAGGTCATCTGCCAGTCCTCATTTTGCCTTGATGCTTAAATGTATTTTGGTCATTGCTCTATCTATCGAAGAAAAAAGATGAACTAGTCATGTGATAACATTGAGCAATGAGAAATTGATATTTGAGTCTGGAAATGCAGCGTTTCTTGCGAAAGACAATGTCAAGGAGACGCTTACCATCAGTTTAGTTGTTGAAATTTTATTAGTTCCTGTTTTATTTTTTCAATACGTTTAGATTTAAAAAAAAAAAAAAAAGAGTTAGAGAGTGCGGAGGCGGAGCGGTTAGTGCGCTCGTCTTCGAAGCGGAAAGCCAGGATTCGAGCCTTGGTTCGGACACAGATTTTTTTCACCTCCGGAAGGAAGGGCAAGTTACACCTCCGTTCCTGACGACTGTTTCCACAAAATTGGAAACATTCATCATCTTACCAAGGTAAGTCTCGCTTGTTTCTCTAATTTTATCTCACCAGTCGTCAGGCTCTACGATGACACTTGAGATTTCAGAGCAACAACCATGAATAAGCTCTTTTGTAGAGATGGAAGATTGAAGTTTAATACATTTTGTACAAATATGAGTGCATAAACGCATA